TTTGTATGAAGGAACAGGTGACCAAAGTCTCCTTTGAACCTGTACCTCCTTTGAGTTAGAAATGAGGTGGCCCCGCAGATAGCAAAAGAGCTGAAGAGCTGCCAGCTAACTTGCAGGTACAGTATTTGCCTGAACAGTTTTGTTTTTTTTTTTCTTAACAGATCTTCTGATACAACTGCCGGGTACAGGGTACCTGATCAGAGCCACACCCAAAGGCTCACTTGTCCCCCTACTTAGAGACAAAGTGCCCGGAACTCTGCACATTTACCCTTGCAGGAGAGAGAAAAAAATGTGTAAACATAGGCATTGCTAGTTCTGTCTGACGACCTTAATAACAAAAGACGAATAAGAGAAAAGCATAAAATGTATTTAATGTATATTGTATGTGACACAGGATCCTTCAGAAATGAAGAGCCAAAGAAACCAAGGAAACTGTATTTTATGGACAATCATATATAGGTATGATTGAAGGCTGAAAGGGTTTATGCATGATCTAAGGTAATAAACTCAAGAGGGTGGGTAACAGACCTAATTTGTTCAGAAACTTCTTGGTATCCCACGATGACATTCTTTTCTCTTGTGTATAAAGCAGAACCACTCTGGAATTAGGATTTTCTGACCTATTTTCAGAAGGTCAGTTAGGTTTTATGGCCTATTTCTCGGGAAAAGGGGAGAGAAGAATTCTTTCTGGTTTCTATGGCCTATGTGTTAGTTGCTTCCTGTCCCTGTAACAAATATCTGAGATCAATCAACTTAAAAGCAGGAAAGGCCATTTTGTTGTATGGTTTCAAAGCTTACAGTCCATGGTTAACTTGCCTCATTGCTTTTGGGCCTGTGGTAAGGCTATATATTATGGTAGATGCATGTGGCATGCTTTACTTTATAGCAGCCAGAAAGCAAAGAAAGTCAAGAAAGGGACAAAGTTGCCAATATCCCTTTCATGGGGCACACCACCCCCAATGACCTAACTTCCTTCCACCAGGCCCCACCTCCTAAGGTTCCATCTACCACCTCACGGCAATTGATAGGCTGATGAGCACATTTAACACTTGGGGCTCTGGGGGACACTTCCAAACTGTGGCAGCCTGTGTCTGCTGCTTCCTCAAATGTCAAAGTGCCATTTGGGAGTAACGTGTCCTGAACGCTATCACAGTTTAGTCACAAGGTTTGCGAAGGAATATGCTCAGGAATGTCCTTTGGGTCATATCCTGTTTGGTAGTAACACACTTGTCTGTTTTGTATCTATATGTACCGTGCAGTATTAATCCATTTTGTGCCACTGTAACATAATACCATAGGCTGTGTAAATTATTTACAAAGACAGATTATTTTTCCTCATGGTTCTGGGGTCTAAGAAGTCCAAGATAAAGGCATCCACATTTGATGTAGGTCTTCTCACTGCATTTTCACGTGGTGGAAGGCAGAAGGGAAAGAGATAGCAAGTCCACTCCTGCAAGCCTTTGTAAAGCAGCATTAATCAGCTGACCTCAACATCTTCCAAAAGATTGCATTGGAAATTGTTTATAACACATGCATTTGGGGAGACACATTCAGACCATATCTCAGAGTCAGTTATATGTACATATATATGTCGTATATAGGTCTCTGTATGACACAACACCCATAACCTTATACACTCATACGTATTGTTTGATAACCTGATTTTTATAATTCGATCAGTCCTATATGTCATTGCATGTTCTCTGTGGCATATTCTAAATGATAGCAAAGGTTACTATCATTGTATCATTGTTGTATGAATTTATGCTATATTCATTCTTATAATTATTAAATGATTTCCTTTCATTTTTTTTACTATTATAATGTCAGAAACATCCTTATAACCATGCTGTGCACAGATCTGTGTATTAATTTATTTTTAACTAGGTGTGTTGATTCAGATTGTATGATCCAGGAGGAAAAAAATCACAGGCCTTTTGTGCCCCTTACTGTTTTTTATAAATATGTATGTGGAAGTTGAAAGGCTACATAGGACAGGATGGGAGTTTTGAGTGAGATGCTAAGCTCAGGCTCTGAGACTTACCCAGTCCTAGGTGTTGTGCTAGGTGTTATTAACCTTTCTGGGATTTACTTTACTTGTTTGTAAGCTGAGTCTAAGACATGGGCTTTGTAGCATTGTTAGGTAAGATAAGGTGTGTATAAAGTGTCTCATAGAAAGCACATAGTGACCCCTAAATCAGTGTTAGACCAGTTGCAAGGTAGAAATCAAAACTCCTTGCTGGTAGAGTCTGAATGTTATTAAAGATGGTAAAGAATACTCGACAGATTGTGCTGTGTGTTGACTAGTTCCTTAGTTTTTCTTGAAGGACCAAAATAAAAGAGGACTGAAATACTACCTCCCTTTTGGCATGGCTGGCTTCATGGGCATATAACTTACACAATTACTCAGGGTCTTATGCTTTAATACACTGCTGTCCATATCTTGAAATTCTTAATTTTGGGGGGGAACCAGGGATCGAACTCGGGTCCTTGCGCTTGCGCAGTAGGTCGTGAAACCACTGAGCTAAATCCCCGGTCTGCAATTCTTAATTTTTAACTGAGGCTCCACACTTTCATTTTGCACTGAGCCCCACAAATTAAATAACTATTCCTGACCATAAATTTTTGAAGGATGAAATGAGAACCCAAAAGGCTCTGAACATAGTACTCAGGATGAACTGCTCAGTCATCATTAAATGGATATAATAGTTATTTTATGAACAAAAATAACCATGGTCAGTGCACTAGAGGCATTTAATTACAACAAAAGTATTAAGAGATGTAGACTTAATCTTATTTTATAGATAACGAAACTGTGACCCAAGAAATTAAAAGAAGTCACATAGTCTGTAAATGCAGAACTTGGACACAACTGAAGCCTCTCTCACCCAAAGGCCTCACCATTGAGCTGCACTTTTTATTTTCATTTTTCTTTTTAAATTTTTTATTCTTTCATTAATATATGCTTGCAGTACATAATAATCACATTTCTCATGGGGAATTGATACATGGACATAACACATCTTATTTCTCAGCTACAACCATACCACCCTGAATTCACTACATCTCATCTGGTCTCCGAAGCTAAGCAGGGTTGGGCCTGGTTAGTATTTACATGGGTGACCTCTGCTATTATGTAATAGTTCCCTTCCTTCCTTCCCCAGAGAACTTCTGTAAAGATCAGTATTTAAGCTTCCTGATATTCAGCAGCAGCCCAAGTGTAACCCCTCACAGAGTTTCAGAGCCCCTCAAAGAGATGCAGAATTCCCACCAGGCCTGGATCCTGCTAGAGTTGCAGCAAACAGAGAGACATAAATCTTCTTTTCATCTCCAGCCATTCTGTCCCGTCTCATCCCATCATGCCCTGACCTGAAGCCTGCCCATAAATGCTGCTTCAGAGTTACATCTCTGGCCAGATATGACCACCTGGTAACAATTCAGCTCACTTCCTTTGGCTCCTGATAAATTTAGCTTCAGATAACTAACATCTAACTGGTACCTCCAGACTACCATGAGTACCAGTGGGAGACTTGCTGGCCTCAGGTCCTGGGGAAAAGGCTATGGAAGATGCCTCTTGTAGGTTGAGCATCTCTAATCCAAAAATCCAAAATCTTCTGTAATGTCCCCAGATCCTTTTTGAGCTCTAACATAATGCCAGACAGAACTGGAAAATTTCACACCTGAACTTATGTGACAAGTTGCAGTTAAAGGATATAGGTACAATGAAAATATTGTATAAAATTACCTTCAAACTTTGTGTATAAATTGTATATAAAGTATAAATGAATTTTGTATTTAAAAAAGTCTTTGTAAATAGGGAAGGGTGGAGGGCGTGAAGGGAGGGCTAGGAATGGGGAAAAAATAAGAACCAAGATGCATTATGTAAAGGTACAATTTCCAATGAGAAAATGTAATTGTGTTGTATACCTACAATGTACCAATAAAAGAATTTAATACCAAAAAAAACAAAACAACTTAGGTCCCACTCCAAGATATCTTACTATGCATATGAAGATATTAAAAAAAAATTCTAAGCACTTTTGATCCCAAGCATTTCGGATAAGGGATACTCAAGCTGTAGCAGTAAACTGAGGACATGGCCATCTGTCCTATAGCAGGGAGCCTTTGCCTTCCTACAGTGCCCGGCTGTAATGGACTCTGCCCACTCTTTTTTCCCTGCCAAAAAGAAGAGATGACCCATTCCACCACACTGCTAATATGCCAGCAATCAGATTTGATGCTGGAAATTCTGCAGCAGGTATGCTGACAGTGGGTGGCCTCTGAGCAGGGCAGTGAAAACATGAGTTTCCATCTCTTGGATAGCTAGATTTGAATTGTGGATGTAACAATGAGGCTGTTTGTTGTTTCAGAGCAATCCCCTAAGTGGCTGCTTGCTCAGGGCTTTTGTAGTGTGAACCGAGATCTGGGGGGAGGGGAGAAGCCATCTGCTCCAAAATAGGCTTCCAGTGACAGGAGCAAATAGCGGAGTGAACTGGAGGGTGTCCAGCAGAATGTTCCGTCTGCTGCATCCACCCCCACCCTGTGGCCTTGGGGCCCTGTGTTTACTGCACACTCACATGCAGCTTCCAGAAGCAAGGCCAAGCTAACTGCAGAGTGAGAGCAGTCAGGGTGAGCCTGCTCACCTTCCATCTCACCAACATGCTGTTCAGGAAAGTAACGCCATACTAGATTTGAATTAAAAAGTGAACTTCGGAGAAGCTCAGTCTCTCTTTTCTTTATGCCTTTAGATATTAGTGTCTTTGATTGCAAATAGTTCCTCATATCAAATTAAAAGGTACCGTTTCTTTATAAATTAAGTGTATGATTTTTGTTTGTCTTCTATTGATGTTTAAATTCTGAGATCTCTACTTTTCCTAAAATATGAGATGATTTTTCTTGTTTGTGAACCATGGCCTGTCTCAATTTGCAAAACATCTTTGAGTCTTACTTTTTCTTCTAAATATGTATGTGGCTTTTTTTCTTCCTCTTTTTGCTATTAGGCATTCATGCAGCCTCACTTGCTGGGAAATGAATTCACACATTTGGAGTTTCCAAGGAGAGTACAGAGAAAGGAACTTGGAAAGAAGATGCTGTACAGGGACTTCAATATGACAGGCTGGTAAGAACATGCCTTCTTCCGTAGTGCGTGTGGGAAGCCGCTTAATGCTGTTGGGATCAAAAGGGGCAGCCAGCGTCCTTGTGGTGAAGGACAAGGGCCTGTGCCCACTTCTGCTGCCCTGCTCAAGACTGGTTCTCCAATCACAGGCGCTGGTCTGTCTCTCTGCTTCTCTGAGGCCCACGTCCGGAACACCAGTCCCATAAAGCGGACATAATTCCTCGCTGTACGTGGAGTAGTCATTTGGGGCCTTCTAAAACACATTGAGCTTTGTGTTCTTAGGTCAGGGTTATCAAAGAAGTAGAGAGTTTCGAAGGAATTTGCCAAGGATTTACTGAGCCAAACTGACTTGGTTTTGAATCCTGAGTTTGACTTTTCTAAATGAGGAAAGTTGAATTATACTACTTAATCTCTCGAGCCCATTTTTTCCATGGATAAAATGGGAAAAAGAGAAGATATACCCTTTGAAGATTCATTATAAATACTAAAGATGGGGCCAGGGATTTAGTTCAGTGGTTCCACCACCTGCCTCGCAAGTGGAAGGACCCAAGTTCAATCCCCTGTACCCCCCAAAAATACTAAAGGTAATGAGTTAATTTTTGTCACAGGCATCACTTAGAATCCATAAGAGATTAGTTCCAGGATCCCCTACAGATACCAAAATTAGAGATGCTCAATCAAGTCCTTTATATAAAATGCCATAGTATTTGCATATAGCCTATGCACAGCCTCCTTCCTGTGTATTGTAAATCGTCTCTAGATTACATAACATTTCTAGTGTATTAGGTATTTTAAGTAAACAGTTGTTATAGTATATCATTTAGGCAGTAATGTCAAGGAAAAAAGTCTGAGGCATATTCATTACAGACACTTCTTCAACATATATTTTCCTTCCATAATTGAGGCATCCATGGATAAGAAATCTGTGGATATGGAAGGCCAACTTATAACTCTTGATATGATATGAGTAATTCCCAAAACTCACCTCAGTAAGTACCAAGACCATTTCTGTAGCGAATCAGTGGCTAACATTGACTAAGATGTCTTGTATTTCTTCTGTCTGGATAACAGACATGATGACAAGTCCTCACATTATAGGGATGATGTGAAGATTAAAATGATAGAGCAGTGCCTTGCACATGGAAATGTGGGTGAAGAGCAAACACTCATGCCCTGAGATTCTAATGAGTATGCCTCTTGCCAGTCTGGAGGACAGTAGAAGAATGAGACAACGTACTCTTTCCTAACCATGTCTCCAACAAAGGCAAAGATGTAGCTTTCATTATCTCTTCTTCTTTGACCAAAATGGGTGAAACAGATGGTCATAGTCCAGATTCCCATGGTGATGACTTCTAGTCAAGGACTGCTTCTATGGTACACATTGTCCTAAAGGAACAAGTCAGGCTACCCGGGGACGACAAGATGCTAATCTAGGGGACCTCTGGTTGTCTTTTGCCAACTGAAAACGCAGATCCTCACCTGAACCCACTCTTTTTCCTCCAGCATGGGGCCAGCAAACTATGGCTAGAGAGCCAGAGTCCACCCACCATCTGTTTCTAGAAATAATTAGTTTCTAAGAACAGCTATATCTGCTTGTTTACATTTGATCTGTGGCTGCCTTCACACAGCAGTAGGGCAATTGAGTAGTTATAACAGAATCTATATGGCCACAGAGTCTAATATTTGCTGCTGCTCTAAAATATGAGTAAATTTATCAGAAAAGAATTTGCAACTGAGTTTTTAAGCCCTGGAGCCATTATTCTAAATCCATTTGCATTCACTTAGCAAAATCAATACTTCTTGAAGAAACATTTTAGGTGAGAGCCAACATAATCCAGAGACACAGAGTGAGGATCTGGTCTGAATGTTATAGCACTTGGAAAGATGGAAAGAAGTTTAAGAACCCATCATTTGTTTTGGGTTTTTTTGTTTGTTTGATGGGATCCTTGCTCTGTTGCTCAGGCTGATCTTAAACTCTTGTGCTCAAATGATCTTTCCACCTCGGACTCCCAAATACCTGGAACTAAAAGAGTGGGCCTCAACACTCAGATCAAATCCATTGGTTGTAAATACATTTTTTAGAAAAAGAGCAGACCTGAAAAGACAGTGAGGAAAATAGCTAAATGTAAGAGGAGAGACTGTGGGAAACACTCTGAGCTTTTATTGAGGGAACATTAATAGGGCATATGAGAAGTTTAGATTTACTGTGAGAGGCTGTAAGTTGCTCTTACATATTATTGAAAAGGAGAATTAAATGGAAGCAATGTTTTTGGAAAGCTATCTCAAGTTTGAAGGATACTTACTCTTAAAAAGCAGGTTCGAATGTCCAGGGAAGAGCTATCAGAAATATATATGAGAATATCTCGAGGGCTAAATAGAGGGAGGGAACCAGAAAACAATAAAAAAGAAAATGATCAAGAAACAAAATGATTTAGGCCAAGGAATAAATACAAGAAATAAGTTATCCATAGCTTCAGTTACCTATTTAAATAGGTCTCCCCATTTGTTCTGTAAACTTCTTGAGGGAGCACTGATTCTTGGTCCTGTGCCTGACACATAGTAGACAAGCAGCAATTTTATGGGCTGCAAACAGAGGGGTATAATCAACAGAAGTGAGGCAGGGAGGCCAATGTCATGGACAGTCCACAAGGAGGGTGGCAATGATGAGCTTGTATTGGAGACGTGCTGAGCTGTTCTTTCTGTGCCAGGAAGGCAAATGAGATCTAAGCAGGCAATACAAACTGATAATTATCATGCATAGAATGTTGTCATAGGAAGAATATCTCTGTTGCAGATGCTTAGTGTCAGTTTCATAGGGGAAGCTAAGAACAATTTATTGTTAGTAGCTTTGCAATGCACTTCTAAGAAGATGATAGGCATCATCACTCTAATGGGCAAGATGCTTTCAAAGGCTGTAAACGTTCCACTCAAACTGTGCAATGAGGTTATGGTTTTATGTTCCTTTTTTCAATCCCTTGAAGCTCCACTCTTTTTTTAAGTGACTTATACATCTTTCTCTTTAACAAATGGCTAAAAATTTCCCATATTTTATAATTTTTTAAAATGTAGTTCAAGAACTGGATCACATCCAACTTTTAGGCATATATTTTCTCTCCCTCCCTACCCTGCCCCCATCTTTCTCTCTTTGTCTCTGTCTGTCTCTGTCTTTCTTTGTCTCTGTCTCAGTCCCTCTCTCTCTCTCTCTCTGTCTCTGACTCTTTCTCTCTCTCAGCATGGTCCTGTGCAGATAAGCAGTCCATAAACAGGCTGTTTTTAATTGTATGGAACGTCATACAAGGTGCTAAATAATTGAGAAGCTAAGACTGAGGATGGCTTCAGTCAAACATGATTTGATCTGTTTTGAGGGTAATTCCCAACATAGCTGTTGGCTCACAAGGTTGGCTGCCAGCTGAGATTTATGTATGCCTTTGTGGATTTTCTACCTGTTCTTATTTTGGTTTGAAACTGAAACTTACGGAGAAGGAAAGCCCTTTATATCTTTGTTAGAAAAACTTGGTGAGTTTAAAAACAGTTTAGATCAGGGCCTTTGTAAACTCTTGCCTCAACTTTAATGTGTTTCTCTTTTAAATATTTTTACCCTCCAACAGAAGGCCTCAGATTGAGCAGGTATTTTTTAGGACTTAAAAAGATGGAGTCAGCTGCCTTTTTTAGTTGTCTATAGAAGAGAAGCACTGGAAAATTAATTTTATGGAAAAGGCAAAGTGAGGATCTATAGCCTTTTTCCCACAAAAGTCTTGAATTACTACCACGGTCTTGGAATCAGTGGCAGGTGGCTTGGTGAGCACTTGGAACGTGCCTTGCTTAAGGATGCAAATAAGTCCTTATCTAGTCCCTCATTTATATTTCTTGTCTTCAAAGTTGCCTTGGGCTGTCAACTCATTTCTTGGAAACCTATCTAACAAAGGGTCCACCTAATTCTAAGTTGTTTAATCCTTGAAATAAATTCCTAGTTGTGGAGATTTTTTTACCCCCTCCCCCATTAATCATGATTGTAATGGGGCTGGATGACAGTTATTGGGAGAGCTAAGGACCAGGCACTATAATTAAAGCTTTTCTTAATTCCTCATGTTTAACTCTTAAAACAGCCCTATGAAGTAGGTGCACTTTACAGATGAGGACACTAAAGCTCAGAGGGTACATTGTTCAAGGTTTTACAACCAGTGAGAAGAGAAGCTGGGCTAGGAGCCAGGCAGCATAACTTCAGACTGAACTGCAAGCTAAGTAGTGCTTCCTCCTCCTTCCCATTTTGCAGTTGAGCAAATAGAAGCTCGGAGGGATGCGATGGTTTCTTCAGCCCCACCAATGCACAAGTGTCAAAATAAGGACTAGAACCCAGGTTTCTGACCCTTGTATCAGGGCTCTTTCTGCTGCTTGTGCAGTTCCATTTTCTTCAGGGTAAGACCAGACATCTTACTCTGCTTTGAGTTCTGATATAAATTTAAGCAAGGGACCTTTATCCACTAGGATTGGTACCTCCTTGACACTACTGTAGGAAACAAGAGGATGGAATTGAGCCTGTTAGGAGCAGTGAGGCAGTGGCTTTCTAGCTCCCAGCATGACCCAGTAGACTATTAATCAATTAAACTGTGATGCCTTACCCTCGTCATCCAGAGCCTGTGCAAGATTTGGGCTAGGGATGGTGGGAGAAGATCCCCCAAAGAACCAAGCTTCCTATGCTTAGGAAAATTGACTGCATTCATTAAAGGAGCATTACACCAGCATTCTGTGGTGTGTCTACAGGAGGGAGGAAGTGTGGGAGAGGATGTCAGCTCTGGGAAGCCTTGTCTCATAATTAAGGATGAGTCTGTTGCCTCCTGACAGGATTCTTTCTCTCCTACCCTCATGCTTTCTTGGAGACTGTGGAGCAGCTTGGCAGGCCCAGATTGTTTAGAGGACAAAAGGTCATTGTCACCAGGCCTATCATAATGCAATTGGTCTCTTCCCCAGCCTCCCTACCTCCCCCACCTGCCCTTCCCCCTCTC